CCTTATTGAATTGTAGAATTCTTGTGGTTTACATTAGGGGGTATACTATCTAATTTATTCTTATTATTACCAGTATTACTACTACTATTAGTGCCTGGTCATACCGGGTGCAACTTGCCATGAGATTTTCCATGCCATGCCAGTTTCAAATCGCATGGCAAGTCGCACCCTATTGTCTACAATTAAAGCGGTCATATCGGTGCTAATCCGACTTGGTCGGAGCCGCACCAATTTCCAAAGTAGTGCATGCACTACTTCAAGTGCAACTTGCATAGACATCTGTGTCTTGTAAGTCACAGCACAAGTCGGAATGACATCCGACTTAGAAATTGTGCGACTTCACTGGAAGTTGCACGATTTAAACGTCTGATCGGTGTATCAGGGCCCCCCTCTGTATCTCCTTTCCTAGCATACGATCAACAGTGGGAAACAGACTTACGGATAGTCTTAGATGAGAAATATTGGTCTTGAATCTTGACCATGGTGCAATCCAGCTCATGTGGATATGTCTGGTGGCTCAGGTATATTGGATTGGTATTTTTTTCAATGATTGCAACAGTGATGCAACCTGGCATCCTTTGCAGAGCAAAGTATGCCCTTTACTGTGAAGGCCAGCTGATTTTATTAATGCTAAATTCTAACGATTTATCATGTTCTCACTGCCACTAAGCAGATGAAAAGCGTGGAAAACTTCTACTCTCTCTATAACTGAAACCAGGTCTAGAATCAGGCAGATTATATTCCATGAAAAAGTGGAGGCTGACCTGTCTGGCATGATGAAGTACTCAGGTACCTGGTACTCCTGGTTCACTAATTTCCACCCTTCTTTGACTGAAGCAGATCTTCTAGGCTTTTAGGTACAGTCATACTGCAACCTATTTACCAAACCCCTCTTTCACCCTTTCCCCAAGTACCTATCATGTTTTCTATTAACTTCCCCCCACCCCTTTGCAATTTCAGGAACTTTTCTAGGTGGACATGACTCAACCAGCCAACAAAACCCATTACATGTTGTCTACCCATTATCAACTCTTTAAAAACAATTGAACCATAATATATTTTGTGTTTTTTTCAGTATAAACTACTACTAAAATGCACTGTTGGTTGCAGTACTTGATCTGCTTTATATAAAAAGTTAACTTTTCAACCACACAGAATATCCAACAATGAGAGAAGAGAGATGGTTTCATGTTTCTTAATCTTCCTAGAGCCTTCTGACGCCACACCACATTATCTCCTGTTCCACCTCTCCCGACAGTTTCCTTTTTGAATTTAATGCAAATGTACAGAGATGACTAGAAGAGGGAGACAAATAAACTAAATGTTATAATGTAATTTAACCCTTAGCCACTAGCTCACAAGTTTCTACAGTTCTGATTACTATAGCAACATCATATTCAGTAGAGCTTTAGAGTGGCTTTACACTTATACATTGCATTAACATACCATGGATCGAGGATCACTGTGTTTGATAAATGGGTGTGGTTATGTAGTTTCCTTCACTGCATAATGAATGGGCTGTCTTAACAGAACACATAATGTGGCAAATAATGCATGTTAACAAGCATACAGTAGTACACTGAAAAACAGCAGTAAAATGTGATTGGCTTTTAAAGTTTATGTAAACCCAATAACTAAAATCTCATATAAGCTTTAACATGTTAATGCAATTTCAAAACTTTTTTTTAACCTGCAACTTTCAATACATATTAACAGATGATCCTGCTAGTAAGGTTCTTGTTCAGTCATCTCCTCTATCACTATTGTGCTCCTCAATTGTGATTCTCTAACATGAACCCCTGGTGGAGAGAATCCAAACAGCTGTGAATGAGGTTAGGAAGTGACTGAAAATGGGTGGAGGAGATTAACAGCACTGCGATACAAAAAAGAACAAGAAAATGTTGAAAACAGTATTCTATTAAAAATTGATTATGATACACAGTGCTTTAGCAAATTAAACATCATCCAACAGTGAACAGGGGATGACTCAAAAAAAGTGAGGGAGAAGCCATATATTAGATCAGAGGACCTATAACTACTATGTTTTTGTATGCTAGCCAAATGCAGCTTTTGAACAGTGAGTCCTTAATAGCCAGGTACCTGTTAAAAATAAGAAAGCAGCTTTGGCTGGTATACTTACCTCCACTATTGCCTTATCCCCTGAAGACTTACTTGGTCATTATGTGGCCTCGCTCTTTTTGGCATTTAGAATTTAGCCACTGCTGGAAGGATGTAAGCACCCCCTAGCTGTCAGATGGGCTATACCATGTGGCCATGGCTTTACAATAAACTGGGTTAGCCTACTGAGCCCCACACACACAACCAAAAGGTAGGTGACTATACCATGATGGGATCTTTCCCTTACCAGCAGCCATCATTGCTGATTTTCTTGCAAAATGCTAGGTGCTCACCTCTGACTTGTCACAGACCAAGAACAGTTGTATTAAAGTAGTAATAAACTCTTTTGGAAGAAAACTGCTTACAGAAAGGTTTTAGTTGCTCTTTGTATGTCACTGCTGTAAACTAAGTACCTGTTCCTTCTGATTGTATACTGGGATGCACATGTGCAGCTCAATGATGCCGGAATAAAGTTACATCATCCCTGGTTTGCCAATCAAATGGTTGAAGACAGGGTATAGATGTCAACAGCAGTGTTAGAAATACAAGTGAGAGTTCAGATGTCACATTGTGGGAGGAGGATGCTTTGAGAAATGTGCGTGCCGTAATGTGCAGTGCACTGCAGTGCACATTATGGAAAGAACCCTAGGAGTCCCTAGGATTAAAGAGGACATTTACTCCAAAATGTTTTTTTAATGCCCTCTTATTCTTAAATCTGGGTTATCTTAAGTAATCATATTCACATGCCCTTCAAATTCAGTGTTCACCCACTGGGATCTGCTACTCCGTGCTGTACACTGGGTCCTGCACCACAATCTTCTTTTCTGACGTTAATTGGAGCTAACTGTCTCTTTCCGGTTCCGGCAGCCGACCCATTGATGATGCACCATAAGGTCTACCCTCCTCCGGCTGCAGCATTGAAAATGATGCCCCCTAGTATGTGTTGTGTTTATCAAGAGTTTATCAAGAGTGGAGGAGATGTCATTCCCACTTGGTGAGAATGCAGGCAAAGGGCAGGACAGAGCTAAAAAAAAAGGTTAGCACTATAGATTGCGGAGAGGGGATAGATTCCAATAAATTAAAGTATCGAGGTCTGCTTTAAGTTCTGCTTTAAAGCTAGAAGCAGCTGGGCAACTCTTTTTTTTTTTCAGAAGGACAGAAATAGTAGCTTCCATATTTCATTTCATGCACAGTGAAGTGAATTGTGCATATACAGGGATTCATTGAAGACAGAACTTGTGGTTATGAAGCAGGGGAGTGTGAAGCTGTGATCACTGGAACGTTGCAAATTCAGGTAAGTTTATCACAATGTGCAAGTATGCTGTCAGCTTTAAGAAAACAAAGGATATGCTGTGGTGTGTGATATTCATCCTTTACAGAAAGTGAACTTGGAGACATTAAATAATTCATAGAAGACCTAAACAGAGGTAAAAACATTTTCACCAAAAATGCCCCTGTTGCCAAGAATACACAGTATCCTAGTTCTCCAAGATAAAAATAACTAACTGCTAAACTGCATATAAAAAAAAAAAGTTTATGCTGTTTAAGATTTTATGTTTCTTTTGTGCTATCCAAAACACATTATCTCATCAGTTTTCTGTTAATTTTACCAATGGGAAATCTTAGCAAAATAGCCTATTTTTCTGAACATCTCAAAAAATATTTTGACCAGACATAACCGAACATGAGCCTCACCCTACAGTGGTATCTCCACGCTAACCATAGAGCTATGGGAAAAAGAGGCAATTATCCTGGACAAATTGTGACCTGAACATACTAGAACATTTTATAATTGCCCGAAGGGTTTCTGAAGTTCTCCCACTGAAATCTCCTTGTAAATAATTTAAGTTAACTGATTTACTTTGCTGGAGAATTTACCAGGAACAATTTTTAAAAGGCTGGGCCTGTCAAAAGTTCTTTAAATTAATTGGCTCTTTAACTTCTCAACAAATCAAATTAGATCACATTTCAACTTCAATTCTCCACTGTTCCAGCTTCAATTAATGATAGATCGGTATGTAGGATTGCCATAAAGTACAAGTATAAACCACTGTACCCATGCACGGTAACGCTAAGTGATTTTACCCACTGGCATACAGAAAATCTTTATGCAATTAGCAGTGCTAAATCCACTTCAGACAATCTACACTTTTGTTACAGCTGAGACATGATTAGGCAAATAGCAATAAATAATCTGTGCCTACCTTGCAGTTAACCCTTTAGCTGACGTGTATTAGAGTCAATGTAAGGAAATTACTTCTATCGACAAAGCAGAGCTGTGTTCTGCACAGTGAAGCATTGCACTCTAATGCTGAAGGGAACATCATCAAGCATGGTCTTACAGACAAGAGCTGACAACATTTGGATGTCCATTAGAGTGGATCAGTGTTTAAAAGAGAACCAGTCATGACTGGGCTTTTGCAAGAAAAGTCTAAATGTAGAACTCTTAATAGAAAACAAAAATTGTGCTGCAGCACTTATTTATAAATACATCTGCACTAACAGTTTTCTCCTAGCCCTCTTGCAAAGTTCTACAAATACCTGTTGAGCTTGTCAATGAAGTCCACTTAGAGTGTTACTAAACCCAGGAACCTGCATTCACTATACCTGGTCTCCCACAGTACACAGAATATGGAAATGTAATTATTTTAGTAAATATAAACTGCTAAATACCTTTTCTCATCAGCAGTTAGAGCAGCCTTGTGACTTCTATCAGTGTTCAGCAGAACACTGGTTAAAGCTTGTAGGAGTTTTCTTTCTGCTCTAGGAGGATGTAAAACCCCTGACCTCTGTCTGGACAGTGCTGATTGGCCTTGTGCTGATCACATGCACTCTCCCACTCTCCCAAGAAAACAAATCCTCTCTAGCAATACATACCAAACTGAGCATGTGCAGAATGGCTATGGGTTCAGTCTGTCTGATCAGGAGAGAAGAAGTGGACATTTGAACAAAAGGAGGAGCAACTTGACCACTGCTGATTCACAAGCCTGTAGCTCTAAGTCCAGGGGTCTCCAAACTATGGCCCTCCTGGTGTTGAGGAACTGCAAGTCCCATGAGGCCTTGCAAGACTCTGACAGCCACAGGCAAGACTCCGAGAGGCAGAGGCATGATGGTACCTGTAGTACTTCAACAGCTGAAGGGCCATAGTTTGGAGACAGCTACTTTAATCAATCAGCACTTGGCCACAGCTAGTCCTGCTCACTGCTTCCAGGATTAACAGCCCTGCCTCTGTTGCTGAAACATTCCAACTATGAGCTGCAGTGTCTTGGAGGGGGAGAAAGTGACCCTCAAATAAAGGAGGATTTGGCTCAGTCAGTGAAGATAAAGGAAGTTTTTTTGTTTACTTTATGATGCTTTTGCGTCACAAAGTAATTGGATATGGGATTTGTTTAACCACTTCCCATCCGGCCCATGTATATAAACGGCCAGATGGGAGCGTTGCAGGATCAGGTGGCCGTTTATAAACATCCTGCTCTCTTCCCTGCCTGTGCGTGCTCCCTTGGAGCGTGCGGCACCATGGTCCAGTGCCTGCTGTGTCCTCAGAACACAGTGGAACACCGATCGCTGTATGGGACCTCTGTGTGAGGTCCCGATCATGTGATCACTGATTGGCCAATCAGTGATCACATGAATAGTAGTAAACAAGATGTCACTTCTGATATCATTACTTACTACGTGTGAAATCTGTGAATGATCACAGAGGTCACATGATACAAGGCTTTTCACAATAGCCTTGTGTCATGTGACAAGCTGTGACCAATCACAGCTCACACTGTATTTCTCAATGGCTGCAAAAATGCAGCCAGAGAGGAGGAGAAATGATTGCTTTTACAGACTTTATGGGTGTAAAAGCAATCAGTGTAAAAAAAAAAAAAATCTTCATCACCCCCACTATGGTGACATTGTACTGCTAGGGTGACAGTATGTTAAAATAAATAATAATATCCCTCCACTGGCTTCCGATTGCCCAACAGATCAAATTCAAACTGCTAACACTGACGTACAAAGCTGTCCATAATTCTGCCCCAAACTACATCACTGACCTAATATCCAAATACCACCCAAAACGCACTCTCCGCTCTTCACAAGACCTCCTTCTCTCTAGTTCCCTGATCTCCTCCTCCCATGCCCACCTCCAGGACTTCTCCATGGCATCACCCATCCTCTGGAACTCCCTACCCCAATCCATCAGACTATCACCCACTCTTCTCTCCTTTAGGCGCACGCTAAAAACCCACCTCTTCAGGGAAGCCTACCCCACCCCCTGCTAATTGCCGATCTCCTCCACTCTTCCTACTACTCCATCCCCCACAGGTTTTCCTCCCGTACCACTATCCCCTCCCTCCTTGATTGTAAGCTCCAAGGAACAGGGCCCTCGAACCCCTCGTGTATCGCACTGTATTGTTATTGTACTGTCTCATCTATCGTCCCCCATTGTAATGTACAGCGCTGAGCGAACTGTTGGCGCTATATAAATACTGTATAATAATAATAATAGTATTGTAACACATAAAAGAGAAAGAAAAACTTAAAGAGAACAAGATCCACAAATTGTCAACATGCAACAAGACAAAAATCATTATCCACAGAGAAAAGCGCCTGGAAATAAACTATCGTGAACATTGACTTGACTATTGAATAGTAGTCGTTGCCAACCCGTTGTACTGTCTTAAGTCTCCCGAGAAGCTCTATTTAGCCTGCCACTGGCAGAGGCCTGAGGGTGCTTCAGCAAACAAAGAATCACAAGGTGGAGACAGCCGTTGCCACAGCATGACTCAAACCGATATATTGAAAAAGATATATAGCATAGAAGAGAAAAACTAAAATTTAAGAACCATAACACCTCCACCAATGTAGGGTTGGGCTGACTCAGACTAACATGTCAATCCGACACTGGCATTGTATGAGCATCCAAGGAGGCTATACCCCTATCAGGAGTGAGAGGTAGGATAGAAATTAAAGGAAGGGAGGTGAGCACTAAAGAAAGGAAGAAAGGAGAGAGAAAAGAGGGTGGGACAGGGTGTGGTGTGCTCTGGATAAGAATGGGCCTAGCACATCTACCAAATGCTGATAGTACAAGCAGTCATTGTACGCCTAGATTGTAAGCTCCAGGGCCTGCTATCTTTCTTGAATTGAACTGTATTGTTGCTGTATTGTCTCCCGTTATATTGTAAAGTGCTGAGCAAACTGTTGGCGCTGTATAAATCCTGTACAATAATAATACACTGAGGTTCAAGAGGACTGTTGAAAGTGAATCGCCTTTTTTGTGATCATCTATAGTTCTGTATTCTGTCCAACAAGCCAAAGTCATATAATGCTTAGTCATACGGTCAATAAAAGTGGCTATCAGTTACTACATCCCTTCTGTCTTGTTGATTCTCAAAAAATAAAACTCTTAAAGAAGGGACACATTGTTGTCTCCAATAGACCGGGACACACTGGCGTGCTGCATTAATCGTATGTATTTGGGGAAACTTATGGTAGGATTTCCCAAGAAAGTAGAGTGATGCAGCAAGTACTGTGCAGGAGAGTACTCCAGGGGGAGGTTGGTAACCTTGGTAACAATGTTATGTGCATTTTTCCAAAATGTGTGGGCAACTCCACAAAATGTGGAGAAATGATCCAACTGCCTGCTCACAGTGCCAGCTTCTCTTAGATAGCAACAAAGTAGGCACCATGGAGTACACCTTATCACAATGTTTCTGTATGGATACGTTAAGGTAGGGGTGGGCAACTGTGGTCCTCCAGCTGTTGTAGAAATACAAGTCCCATGAGGCACTGCAAAACTGACAGTTACAAGCATGACTCCCAAAGGCAGAGGCATGATGGGACTTGTAGTTCACCAACAGCTGGAGGGCCAAAGTTCCCCACCCCTGCATTAAGGGAACCTTTGTGTGTTATTCTACATGCTGATTCTCATTCCTGTTCTGATAAGGGTTGGGTTAAGTCATCATTCCAATTTCTAGAAGCTACATCCTGTTTAGAGATCTTGGTGTCTGCAAAAATAGCATACATGAAGGAGAGTAAATGCTGCTGCAGGGACTGAGCCAAACATTGGTCCTCAAAACCAGTAGTCGGTCTCCTCACCGCCTCTCTTCGAGAGGTGTGAAGTAGAAAGGATCGTAACTGAAGATAGGACCAGAACGGGAATGCTGATATGTACATCCAAAATGAGAGGGTCTGTAGGGTCACGAAAGAGCTATTGAAAAAAAATTCTTCAGCTCTGGGACGTTTATGGAAGCCACACTGGTGCTGGAAGGAAATTTGAGCTTGGGTGGGAAGTCTGGGTTATGGGCGATACAGGTCATGAACCTGATACAGATACAGTCGTCAAAGAAGCCATCTGAGATGAGCAGTGTGCCCAGAAGCCATTTAACACTGAAAGTAGTGGAGGGTGGGCCTTGAGTTCTGGGTAATTGATCGAACAAGAATTCCAGGGTAATGTGTTCAGATGGAATTGGAAAAAGGCCTGTTCTAACGGAACCCAATCTCCAAAGTGGTTCTAAAGCCTAAAGATTTTTTACATTCATGCATCCTATGAAGGTAAAAAACTTTTAGTGTGTAGCTTCCTCCAAAGCCCCCCTGTTATACTCACCTAAGCTCAATCTCGATCTAGCAATATGCACGAGAACAGAAGCTCTCCTGAGTCTCTGCCTCCACATTGGCACAGCAGTGAGAGCCATTGACTCCCACTGCTGTTAGTCATAGTCAGTGACACACAGAGGCGGCTCAGGAGCAACCACACACTAGTGCCCCCAGAGCAAGCAGCTTGCTCTGGGGACACTCAGCAGGGGGGAGGGGCCTGGAGCACCAGTGGGGGACCCGAGAAGAGGAGGATCAGGGCTGCTCTGTGCAAAACCTTTGCACAGAGCAGGTAAGTATGACAAGTTTGTTATTAAAAAAATCAGAACCCTTTACAATCACTTTAAGCTTAGTATGAATATGCCAGTCCACCAAAAGCATTGAATAGCATGTGTAGTAGTAGCATTTGAAATTGGAAAGCCTATGCCTCCATTTTTCTTAAGGTGGATGAGGTGACACAAGCTCACCTGTGGGGAAGGAAAGAAGGAAAGAAGTAAGCAGTTTGCGTAATCCTAAAAAAAGGAATTATGGGCATTAATGAGTCACTTGCATAATTTACAAGAGTCTCGTAAGAACAGTAAATTTTTACTATTGTGCAGGTGATCATTATCTATCATTTTTACTATTGCCATCCTACCGAATCATGAAAAGCATGTTTTGTTCCAGCTGACTGTATCTTGCTGAAGGGTGGACAGCGGCAGGAGATAATTACGTGCATATAGTTCTCTAAGTTTTTCAGGAGCTGTATGCCCAGGTATGTAATGGTGTCCGTCTTCCACATAAATGGAAAATTATCTTGACACTATATTTAACTGCAGCAAGACATTGAGCGCATAGGATTTCATGTCATTTATCTTTAAATTTGAGAGCTCCCGATAGTATTTAATTTCTGGCAATGGGTTGGGAAGTGTAATTACCGGGGTGGTAAGGAAAAGTAAGATGTCGTTGGCGTAGGCAGCCATTTTATACTCCAGCACCGCTATATCTATTCTGCTGATTTTTGCATCAGATCGTAAACAGTGCAAAAATGGGCCATAGGGAAAGGATGAATAGGATTGGCTAGAGCGGGCAACTGGTGGGTCCCATTCATGGTGGGAAAGGCATTTTACAAGTGGTTGTTGACTCACACCTTGGTTTGAGGTGATATGTACAGGGTGAGGATCTTGGAGCACATATGGACTGTCAAGCCAATTGAAGTAAGTACGGCTTCCATTAAGTCCCAGGCTACTCTGTCACATGCCTTCTCAACATGCATGGACAGAAAAAAATGTGTTTGGACTTGTGAGTAAGCCAATGATGTATATTGAGGGCCTTGATATTACTGTCACAGGCCTCTCACTCGCCCAAGGGGTGAATCCCACTTGGTCCAACAAGCCTAATTTAGGCAATAAAGGAAGCAGTTTATTAGCCAGGATCTTAGTATATAATTTGAGGTCCACATTAAGTAAGGATATTGGTCTGTAATTAGTCACCAAGAAGGATCTTTTCCTTTCTTGGGTATGACCAGGGGCAGACTGACAACTCATGAGGCCCCCAGGCAATAGGGGATCATGGGGCCCCTGTGTCTTTGCCCAAACTCAAAAAAGCCTATGAAAAAGGTACCAGGGGCATCTCATGGGGCCCCCTATTGACCCCGGGCCCTCGGGCAGTGCGGAGTTTCCAAATGGTCAGTCCACCCCTGGGTATGACCATAATGTGTGCTTCCAACATAGGTATGAAGAAACCATGACCCTGCAGGACTGAGTTAAAGTCACTTAAAAAATATGAGCTTAAAATGTCTAGAATGCCCTAATAGTATGGTGACTAAGATGGGGTGTGGGGCACAATGAAGGAGCAGCACCAGATATCCATAGAAAGGAGCCACACCTCAACCCCATCTGAACTGTCAATGAATACTATACTGTATGCAAATAAGAATATTAGGCAAATTCCTTGAATTCAACACAGCTGGAATATGGTTAACTGCAGATGGAGTACATGAAAGCTAGTAGAGCACTCAGCCGGGAAGAGAGGGTTAACTTATTCTCCTTGGAACTCACAGATTCTCGCATGTTCGTCCAACTACAATATCTCAGTGTCCTGGTCAAGAATTCTCAACTGGTCTTCTCTGTTGATATTGTCACTGCAGGCGATCCTGACATCAATGGGTAACTGGTGTCCACCAAATTCAACTCGGTGGTGGACTGGAGGCCCAGGAGGAGAAACCCTGTACCATTTTGGCACCGGGATGAAAGGCAATTGCAATATACCAAAGAATCTTTCTAGGTCGTCAGGCATTTGAAGGACTGCTGTTTTCCCTTGACATGTTGCTTGTAGGGAAAAGGGAAACCTTCCCTTATAATTAATATTCCATTCCCTCAAAGCCGAGAGAATAGAATATAAAATTTTTCTATTTTGTAGAGTGATTGGTGACAGGTCTTGAAAAACATTCACCTCAGCCCCATTAAATGTGAACTTGTTCTTCTCTATGGCTCCCTGGCTGATCTCCTTTAGCTTAAAGTCCACCAGACAACAAACCACATCCCTGGGGGTTCATTGTCTCTGCCACAAGGCCGCAAAGCCCAATGAGCTCTTTCCATGTCCAAAGAAGTATCCCTAGGGCATTTAGGCAACTCACTAAAAAATAATTTAGCGAGTAGAGGAGAGTTGATCTTGTTCAACCATTTCAGGAATCCTGCATTTCCAAAGATTCTTTCTTCATCCCCTTTTTTCCAGATTCTCCAGCTTACTCTGCATCTCCATCAGCTTCCAAGAATACAGTAAGCCTGCATGTCCCTAATATCATCATTATGGTGGCTCATCCTCTCCCACACTTCCATGATGCGGCTGGCTACTCCCCTAAGCCCTACCTTCAGGTCCGACACAAAGGGCGCTTTAATAAGATCCACCTCTTAGTAAATGTTGAAACACTGGCCCTGTAAGAGCAACCAGATAGATCAATGACCTCTAGGAGCAGTTTATTCAGCACTAACCAGCTCCTCTGCGACACTCCTCAGCAAAAAGATTCCTTTTCAGCCAAGCTTTCTTCAAGTATTCACTTCAGTTTTAGTTTACATCCCTGGGTTCCAAGCACATGCCCAAAGCTGAGGCATGGCCCAAGTGAAGAGTGTGTTAGGAGTAGAGATGAGCGAATCGAAGTAGGCGAAGTGGAATTCGAGTCGAATATTGGAAAATCGATTCGCGCCGAATCCGAAAAATAGCCTACTTCGGACGCGCGAATCGAAATTTTTCCTAAAATGGCGGCGGACATGTGCGGCGACGGAGCGGGGATGTCTGGGAAGGCGCGCAGACAAGGCGCGCTGACCCATAATGCATTCCTTAATGACATGTGATCGCATTAGCCAATCAGCAGCCAGGCAGCCAGCACTGTGTAATGGTCGAGCTATAAATAGCGGCCATTTTAGAATTCTTCATTTGCCTCCAGCCATTCAAGAGAGGCAGACCGCTCTGTATTAGGGACAGAGTTAGGGCCACAGAAACGTTACTTGGGGACAGAGAAACGTTACTTAGGGACAGAGAAGCATTACTCAGGGACACAGAATTGTTAATGAGGGCCACAGAATCGTTACTTAGGGCCAAAGAAACGCTAGTTAGGGCCACAGAATTGTTACTCAGGGACAGACAGAATTGTTACTGAGTGCCAGAGAATTGTTACTTAGGGCCACAGAAACGTTAGTTAGGGCCACAGAATTGTTACTCAGGGACCACAGAATTGTTACTGAGGGCCAGACAAGAATTGTTACTTAGGGCCACAGAAACGTTACTTAGGGCCACAGAATTGTTACTCAGGGACAACAGAATTGTTACTGAGGGCCACAGAATTGTTACTTAGGGCACAAACGTTAGTTAGGGCCACAGAATTGTTACTACAGGGACAGACAGAATTGTTACTGAGTGCCAGAGAATTGTTACTTAGGGCCACAGAAACGTTAGTTAGGGCCACAGAATTGTTACTCAGGGACAGACACAGAATTGTTACTGAGGGCCACAGAACTGTTACTTAGGGCCACAGAAACGTTATTAGGGCCACAGAATTGTTACTCAGGGACAGACAGAATTGTTACTGAGGGCCACAGAACTGTTACTTAGGGCCACAGAAACGTTAGTTAGGGCCACAGAATTGTTACTCAGGGACAGACACAGAATTGTTACTGAGGGCCACAGAATTGTTACTTAGGGCCACAGAAATTGTTACTCAGGGACACAGAATTGTTACAGGGACAGACACAGAATTGCCAGAGAATTGTTACTTAGGGCCACAGAAACGTTAGTTAGGGCCACAGAATTGTTACTCAGGGACAGACACAGAATTGT